CCTCCCAGCAAGCTCGCCAGCATCGCCACTCGCAGCCACTGAGCCATTGCAGCCCTTCCGACGGGGCCTCGTCCCCCTTCGTACGAATCTTGCCCTCATACCCACTCTGACCCTACAGCTTTGAGGTTCTAGCATGGTCATAGGATTATCTCTTGAGGTGGGTACGGGTAGGGGGCTCCTTTTTTTTTTTCCTGCTTTACTCTATAGGGACCCCTACCCTCTTTCTGAATACCCCTACCCCCAAAAAACCCTGACTATAAACGGGTATAAGCATAAATCATCACTACCCCACCCTCAGTAGACCCCTGTGGGATTTCTAGAATTTCTCACGACAATGCGGTGGGAGGAGGAGCGGCGAAGGGAGGGAAGGAGCATGTTGAGACTAGCCACGGCCGTCATCCTCTCGTCTGAGATTGCGCATTCCTTTGTTACTCCGCCTCTATGCTGTCAGTCGTCTCCTCTGGAGGGGTTTACAGCGAACAGACCCCGTCTTGTTAGCTTGTCACGAAATCTGCGAGTAGCACGTAGATCAAGATGTAACAAGGACGTCGAGATGGTGAGAGTGAGAGACGAGCTCGACACTTCATACCACCAACTTGTTATGCCTCCTCTCACCAAAGACTCGCCTACATGGACAAGGCAGTTTCGATCGTGTCAGGGTGCATTGAAACTTGACGAGGACACCAAGGAGAGGGTCATTCGGGATTGTGATAAAGCCTTCAACTTGGAGTGCGGCTCCACCTTCTGGCTTGGCGCATCGGATAAACCAAGATGCTCTCTTGAGAAGATGGCCCAACAGATCTTCATGCACTTCACACAACAAGTTGAATTCGATGCGAGCAGAAGCGGTGTAGAGTGGTGGGTGCAAATGCGGCTTGGGGGAGACGGTGAAGCAGAACCAGGGGTGATGGGGGAAGACATCACCTTGCATTGGGACAAAGACGAAGAGTTGGTGAATACGATTGGAACTCACATGACTCCCTATGTGGGGACGGTGACATACCTCACGAACTACGGAGCTCCCACGGTGGTTCTCAACAAGGCAGCACCGAAGCAAGCTGAAGATGTTGAGGGGTGCTACGGGTCGATTAGCCATGGCTTCCTCTCCTACCCCTCTGTCGGTCAGTTGACTCTGCATTGCCAGCTCGAGTCGTCACCTAGATGCAGGTAAGAGCATCGCGTTCGATGGACGGCTGCTGCATGGGGCGTTGACTGGATTCATGTGAGTGATGCTTGCCAACACGCCTGGTGCTGCCTCTCAGAGTAATGGAGTCGCAGCCAGCCCGAGATGTGGCAACGAAGAGTGACATTCCTCGCCAACGTGTGGCTCGATCACAGACCGGTGAGAAGTTGTCGGAGAACAGAAACGAGATTGACGTCTCCTGGTGTTGCTCCGCAGCTTCAGGTCAACCGGTTCCCTCAGGAGCTGCTGCACAGGTTCGCAGTCTCGATGGACGAGATTGAGTTCGATCTGTCCGCTGAAGAAGAGATCCTCTCGGTGAGCATCCAAGATCGAGCTACCATGGGCCCATGGCCGAGCTCCGGTGACACGAGAAGGTCGACAGCTTCGCTCACTCACTTGAGGTCTGTGCAGATGGAGGCTCTCAAGACACCAGTACATTGAGCTCGAGGTTCAGAGTAGATGGGAGACATCATCATGTGCAGGTGCGGTGTGCGAGCTTGCATGTTGAGAGGGAACATGTCGCTGCTGTGCTCATTCTACTGGTGCAGATTCCTGTGCAGAGGGATTCGATGCTTGCAACTTCTCAGGGGAGAAGTTTGAGAATGGATTTTAGAGAATGAATGAAAGGGAAGCAGAACGCCCGTCAACAATTACTGCTGTGGGAAAGTTCTGCAAGAGTGTATGCTTCTGCCTTCACACACACACACCTTGTAAACTCTTGCCGCCCTCTATCCTTCTGAATGTCTTGCTCCTCCATCTCCTCCCCTTACCATCCCCGTCCCCTACCTCTCCCTCCCCTGCCTCTTCCTTCCCCTCCCCTCCCCTCTCTCCCTCCCTCCCCTCCCCTCCCTCCCCTCCCCTCTCTCCCTCCCCCTCCCTCTCTCCCAATGGTACTTTCTGTTCCGGCTCCCCTTCTGAACAATCTCTGTCGGGCAGTAAATCGTCGCCTCAGAGCTCCGAGAGGGCTCCATCCCACCCTCCCCCCTTTTACTATTACCCTTCCTATAGAATCCTCCTCCCTCCCCCCTATACCTTCTGCTACAGCTTTTCTGCGACTGTTGGAGATCAAGGTCGGAGAGGGAGGGGAAGCGATGAGAAGCGAAGGGGACGGGACGGGAGGAGAGAGGAGGCGAGGGGAGGGACAGGGAGAGAGAGGAGGCGAGGGGAGGGACAGGGGGAGAGAGGAGGCGAGGGGAGGGACAGGGAGAGAGAGGAGGCGAGGGGAGGGAAGGGAGTTGGGTGTTGATGGCCTACTGACTTGGATGGTCCTAGGATGCCTTCCCCTCCCGTTCGACCTCCGACGGCCTACAGTGTCGTAGCGCCTCCCACGCAACACGAGCGGAGAGGTGACGCGACTCCCAACCGACACCTGGTGGGAGGGCGATGCTGCGATCCCTTGACGACGACTTGTCGATTCCCAAGGAGGGAGGAGCGCTAGAATGGTTGGAGGGGATGCAGTCGACGGTCAATGGCGGGAGCTCGTCGCTGCGAGGGTTTGCAGCTCCGTCGTTTGAGGAGCAAGACAAGGCCAAGCGAGTGTTTCCCCAGCGACATCGACCATCTCACGTGACGGACGAGCGATGGGGCAGCTCGTTCAGACCGCGGCAGGAGGAGGGGCTTGTGCTGCCGGACTATGAAAAGAGCGAAAACAAGCACGAGGGGTCGCAGGCGAGCGTCGGAGTGACGCTCGTCAAGCTCGAGGGACGACGACCTGTGGTGGTCGACTTGACCCCGCGAGGAAGAGAAATGGCGGAGCTGACGCGAAAGATCGCGAGCGGCGACGCGATCGTAGGAGTAGGAGAGTTTGAGGTGGAGGAGGACACAAGCCTGCTGGATGTGGAGCGACTGCTGGTAGGACAGCGAGGAAGCTGCGTCACGGTTGACCTGCTCCGGCCCTTTCCTCTTTCCGACGCTCACGGGAGGAGGGAGATGTGCAGAAGAGATGCGACGGCGAAAGAAGTGAAGTGAGCTTGAGCTGCTGCCCATTTTTCACTGTGACATAGCAGCAGGGAAGGAGTGGTGTATTCCATCCAAGCTGTCAGGTTCTGCTCCTTCTTAGGAACCACCATCAACAACAACAACATCCAGGAGATCTCGCGTATGTCCCCGCCCAGGTCAGCGACGGCGGCGCATCGGAATGGACGAGCGTGTGCTGACGTTGAGCCTCAGGCTGAAGAAGAAAACAGAAAATTCGCAGCTCGCCGACCCCGTCCAAGTTCTCGCTACAGCGTCACAAACAAGAGACGAGGAGGTAGCAGAGACAAGCTCGTGGAACTTGGAGGCGCCGCAACGAGTCGTTTCAGATGAGCCTCCTCCTCCTGTTGCTCAGCTTGTGGTGTGTTGATGAAGTTCCCTGGGACTTCTCGTGACTCTGCTGACTGACAGAGGGAGATAGAGAGACAGCAGACTGCGATCAGTGAAACCTTCATCGAGCTAGAGAAACGATCGTACCCGGTACTTGCCTCACCCTCCTTCCATCCAACCTCACCCTTACCCCCCATTTCTCCCTTCCCTCACCATCCTCCTCCCCATCGTCGTCGTCGTCGTCGTCATCATCATCATCGTCATCATCATCGTCATCGTCATCATCATCATCATCGTCATCGTCATCATCATCATCATCATCATCGCCTTCGTTTTATTCGTTGTATTGCAGGACGAGAACGCGGCGCGCTCGAAGAAGCTGCTGCAGGAAATCTTACAGATGAGAAACGAAGTGAAGGAGAGGGAGGGGAGGCGACGCGTTGACGGCTTGTGCCAGGACGCGAACACCTTGCGGAGAATCGAAAAGTGCAACGGAGATGGCGAAATGCTATTGAGAGAGATCCATGACATGGAGCTGAGAAACACAAGCCTGGTCCGGGAGAGGAGGGGAGGAAGAGAGGCGAGGGAGGAAGAGAGGCGAGGGAGGAAGAAAAAGGGGGAGGGGGGGGGGGGAGGATGCAGCAGGAGAAAGGAAGTCAAGGTTTGATGGTGTGGAGCAGGTGGACAAGTGCGTGGAGCTGTTCAAGAGGCTGGTGGAGGCTGTCGACGGGCACGTGAGAGGGGTGAAGGAGCTGCAGACACGAGACTTCGAGCAGCTGCAAGCTCAGAAGATTGTCAGTCTGCAGACAGGTTTGGAGGAGCAGGAGAGGAGGCAGAGAAAGGTGGAGGAGGAGCTCTCCTGCCTGTACCGGCAGCTCTTCAATGCTCAGCGAGCCTACGACGTGGAGACAGCACGACTGCGGCTGGAAAAGATGGCGATGGAGAAGAAGATGCAGTCGCAGCTTCAGGTGCTGGAGAAATTCATGAGACATGAAGTTGAGCAGCAGAACGTGAGAGACAAACTACAACAACATCTCGCCCTGTTGCCCGAGGAGATGACAGAGAGGTACTTTGCATCCTCCCTCCTCCTCCTCCTCATCATCATCATCATCATCATCATCATCACCATCATCATCATCATCATCATCATCATCATCATCATCATCATCATCATCATCATCATCATCATCATCATCATCATCATCATCATATCTCAATCATCTCCTTCTTGTCCGTCTCTTCCCATCCTACAGAGCGTGAGACATGGCAGGCAAGACTTGCAGCAAAAGCTCGAGGAGCTTCACGCTCGTCGTCTCTTGTCCGGGCAGGAGCATCATGAGGACGAGGGTGTGGTGGAGGCTGTGGAGAAGAATATCATCAAAGGTGGTGACAAGCTCCTCCTCCGTCCTTCCTCCTAGTCCTCATCTTCATCTTCATCTTCATCTTCATCTTCATCTTCATCTTCATCTTCATCTTCATCTTCCTCCTCCTCCTCCTCCTCCTCCTCTCTCTCTCTCTCTCTCTCTCTCTCTCCCTCTCCCTCTCGTCGTTCTCCTGATCCCCACCCCTTCTCATTCTTCTTCTGACTGC